AAGCTGGTTTGTACCCTAAACATTTTATTCCAAAGGGCATGGATGAGTTTGAACTTGCACTGCAATTTGGCATTTCAGTGCTGGTGATCGCGTGCCCATGTGCCCTTGGTTTAGCAACACCAACTGCTATCATGGTTGCATCAGGGAAGGGTGCTTCTCTTGGTGTCCTCATTAAGGGAGCAAGTGCACTTCAAAATGCGTACAAGGTACTCTATGTCTACGCCTACATTGAATGTCCATTTGTTAGTAACATAAAATGCTTTAAAGAAATAGTTAAAAGCATCTTAAACTACTTTTTTGTAGAGCATTTTTCTTTTAGCTTAAATGCTTTAACAAGAAGTCTTAAAATTACTTTTAAGAACGTAGAACCCTAAGCGTGTTTGAGTGCTTTCAGTAAAAGCACCCCAACTATAAATACTTCAGTAAAAAAGGAATGTTTGATATTTTGTTTTACAGTGCTTTTAAGTGCATCTTGGTCAAGTACTTTGGCCAACTACACTTTACAAGTGCCTTCTCACAAAGCACTTCAAGACGTTTTTTACATATTTTTATAGTACTTTTGTCCTTTGAACTTTCAACCATGAAGGTTTCATTTGTGGATGATTATGGAATTGGTTAACTTTTTACTTGGGTGAATATTGAATCAAAGCCTTTTTATTTCAACTGAACAGGTGAAAATGGTAGTTTTCGACAAGACTGGAACTCTAACGGTTGGCAGGCCAGAGGTTGTTAGTGTTGTGCTTTTTTCTACATTTCCAATGCAGGAGCTCTGCGATGTAGCAATAGCAATTGAGGTGAGTGCACTTGTAATTCAAGTTGATGGATCATGCAAAGTAAATGAGATTAAAATTGTGTTCTTACTTGTTTTAATCTTTGTGTTTAGTCAAACAGCAAACACCCTTTAGCAAAATGTGTAGTGGATCATGCAATGAAAATGAGAAAAAAGTTTGGGGCCCGAACCGAATGTCGCAAACGCATACAGAACTTTGAGGTGTTCCCGGGAGGAGGGGTTGGAGGAAAAATTGATAGAAAACCAGTTTTAGTAGGAAACCGAAGGCTCATGCGAGCTCACAACATTGTTGTTGGTCCTCAAGTCGATCGTTATGTTATAGAAAATGAGCGGCTGGCTCAAACATGTATATTAGTGGCTATAAATGGCAGGGTAGCTGGAGGTTTTGGTGTTATAGATGCGCCAAAGTCTGGGACTAAAGCTGTTATATCGTATCTTCGCTCAATCGGCATCTCAAGCATAATGGTCACTGGCGATAACTGGGCCACAGCATTTGCCGTTGCAAGAGGGGTTGGGATCAATGAGGTCTTTGCAGAGATGGATCCAATTGGAAAAGCTAACAAGATCAAATCCTTAAAGGTAAAACTTCTGTTTCTCCAGCTTGACTTGCTGCATCTGTAGGAAATTTTATGGTCAAGCTCAATAAGAATAATGAGATTGAAATGATATAGCCATGGGTAATATATTTATTTTGAGTAACTAATGTTAGGAACCATGAATGTCTACAATGGTACGATATTGTCCACGTTGAGCATAAGCTCTCATTGCTTTGCTTGTGGTTTCCCGAAAAGGCCTCATATCAATGAGATGTATTCTTCCCCTTAATTACTCAATGTGGGACTCCCTCCCAACCATCCTCGACAATCATCTCCTTGAACAAAGTACACCATAGAGCCTCCCCTAAGACTTATGGTGCCCTCGAACAGGCTCCCCTTAACCGAGGCTCGACTCCCTTCTCTATAGCTCTCGAACAAAATACACCATTTGTTCGACACTTGATTCACTTTTGACTACACCTTCGAGGCTCTTAACTTCTTTGTTTGACATTTGAGAATTCTATTGACATGACTAAGTTAAAGACATAACTGTGGTATCATGTTAGGAACCACGACTCTCCACAATGGTATGATATTGTCTACTTTGAGCATAAGTTCTCATGGCTTTGCTTTTGGTTTCCCCGAAAGGCCTCATACCAATAGAGATGTATTCCTTACTTATAAACCCATGATCATCCCCTTAATTAGCCTAGGTAGGACTCCCTCCCAACAATCCTCAACGAATAAAAATGACCAAATTTGTAAACTTTCTGAATTATTGTTCACAACTAATATAGACATTAAAAGTACAAGGATGAACATGATATAAACCAAACTGACTATATTGAAGTGTACGACTGGTGTGGTCATTAAAGTTCATGAAGTAACTGATCCTTTATCAAGTTCATGAAGTAACTGATCTTTTGTTGACAAGTGAACGCAGACAACAGGGAATATTGTGGCAATGGTGGGAGATGGAGTAAACGACTCGCATGCCTTAGCTGCAGCTGATGTTGGCATTGCCATTGGTGCTGGAACAAATATTGCTATAGAAGCAGCTGATATAGTTCTCATGCGAAGCAATTTAGAAGATGTAGTTACAGCCATAGATCTCTCAAGACAAACTGTTTATCGTATATGGCTTAACTACATCTGGGCACTTGGCTATAATATTATAGGTATGCCTATTGCTGCCGGAATCTTATATCCATTTACTGGAATCCGATTGCCGCCGTGGCTCGCGGGTGCCTGCATGGCTGCTTCTTCCCTTAGCGTCGTATGTTCTTCTCTCTTATTGAAATGCTATAGGAGACCCTTGAATTTTCAATCCACTTGAAATGTTGAGTTTGGTGTGAGTTTGTGATGAAAAAGTGATGATTTTAGTTGTGATTCAATTCAATTTTCAAGATTTTTTGAAAATACTTCTGTTAGAAGTAGCGAAGGTAGTGCTTTTTTGTAATGAAATAAGTGTTGTACTCTGAAAAAAGTCATTTCAAACTCGTTCATTTCCTAGTTTTTGTATCTTTTCCTCATAGATTGATAAATAAATTATTCTTTATAGCCTTGGTTGTAGGTAGGCCTTCCGGAATTAGATGGCTTAATAGGTAGGTTAGTGACCTCCATCTTGGAGCAAATTTTGTGGGCTATTTGTCTCGAGGTTGTTACGTGTGTATAACAATTTTATGTAGGAGGCTACCCATAGAAAAACTTCTGAATTTTCAATTCTAATTTCTGAATATTTCGTAGAACTTGTTCCTTATCTTCCCCTTCAGCTTATGAAGAGGTTTAGGAAGCATGAGTTCATATGTGGGCTTCCAAGTTCTCGATTCTTCTTCTCGACACAATACCCATTTTTCACATAAATTAGAGGTTAATTGGGTAGCCCAATAGAGAGCTCCTTAGCTTTCGACTTCTTCATGAATTCTTCTCCTCTCATCCCCACGAACCTCATGGTACCCTTGGATTGAAGCTTATTGGAGCATAGTTGATGAATTTGGAGTTTCCTCATCCACCAAAAATGGACCCGATAAGCTTTTTCTTTGATTCCCCTCGATCCTACTTGTCTTTATTTTCGTGGTCTTCATGAAACTTATCTCACCAACCTACTTAAACACTGGTTTGGAGGGACGACTTAGCTTGTAGGCTCCAATTAGATTTATGCATCTTATTTCCTCGTTCGACATGGATGCTTGAATTGAGGGAATGAATTATGGACACTTTCAACTCTCGAATCCTGAATCCTTCATCGAACCTATTGGAGAGCTCATTTAGAATGAGTAGAAATTGTTTTGAAAGAAAATGGTTACCCGTAGCCCTCAATTTTAGAAGAAATTCGAAGAGGCTCAATTTTACTCGATTATTGTTCCAAATGAAGGTCTCCTTCAAATTTTATAAAGCTTAGACTGACAAAATTTAAAGTTGAATTTTCTAGATATTTTATCATGAATATCTTCTTCGATCAGCGAGCGAATTGTATTTGATGAGGTGTGAGTCTTCTAGAGGTTATCTGAGTTTGGAGGAAATCCAACCGTTAGATTTCAAGATATCCTCGATTTTGTACAGGGCTAATGCAGCATATTAAAAGTGGCATTTTCGTAATTCTTTCAATCTTCAACGGTATTTTAATCCTTACTATTTTATGAATATTTCATTATTATTTTGCGAATCATTGCCCGTTCTTTGGCATCTTGAAATTTCTTCTCGAAAAAAAATAAAAAGTGCATAACATTCCTTATAAAGGAGAAAAATGACATTTTTTTTTTGCCCTTATGCATACTTTTTCTTCCTTTTCCGATCTTTTCCAAAGGCCTTAAATTCTTATAATTTCTCTTGCTAGAGCATTGAAATTAGTTACGTCTGCCCATTGTCCTTGCTTGGATCCCTTACATCTCACATGAACATCGTAAACTAACTTGAGTTACTTTTAACCTTACCTGTGGTATTACCAATTCTCGTGCTCTTAACAACTTTTTTCCAAAGTTCGCTGTTCTTAACTTGTCTTTGGGGATACTTGTTCATAATCATGTCTTTTCATGTTCCTTTATTGAGTATCTTGAAATTTATTCTCGAAATTAAAAATTCGAGAAGTTCCTTAAAAATTGAAAAAATAAATGTCGTTTTTGCCTTTTATGCTTACTTTTTCCTTTCGAGTTACTTTACCAATGGTCTTAAATCCTTATAATTTTTTTGTTAGGGCATTAAAATATTTATTTAGGTCTCTTTGAACCTTTTAATCTTGAAGTATTATAATAGTTGTCCATTACAATATTGTTAATTGAAACAAAAACTCATTTTCTCTTTTACGTTAGATTGAACATGATACAATTTGTATTTAAACCTATGGATGCTTAACATTTATTTTGATAGCAATGAAAATAACTTAAGCAATGGAATTAAAATTATACTCAACCCAAATAAAGACTAACAACTAGTTGATTCCTATGCCTCAAGCTATTCTAGATTTTAGAGCATTTTGAGCAATTTGCAGAAATGTTGGTGGAGGAAAGGGTTAAGTTCAAGTTGTTGAAAGTTTGTTCCTAATTTGTAGCTCACGTTCTTGGGCCTCCTGGCTTTCTATAATCTTGCAAATTAGTTGTATGGCCTATTAAACACAGCAGCTCAACCCCATAAACTCTCTGAAATTGCATCATTTCTTCACATTTGGAGCCTATCCAATACCATATTAGACATTTTGAGAGATGGAAATGAACTTGCATCTTGGACGCGTTTTAGTGCTCATTTTAATGGGTAATCACTTGTGAACTCAAAGCTTGAATTGTCAATACTCAGAAAAATCTCAGCTTTTTTAGTTCCAGAGTGGCGAGATCTTCTACCATTGGACGAGAGGCGCAGAGATGGGGTGCTGAGAGGCTCTAGTTTTGTGTTACTGTGTATAATTCAAAACAACGACGTCACTCTCCTTTTCCCCCCCAAAATTTCTCTTACAAAGTCTCTCGTTCCTTTCACCAAACAAACGCGTTTCTATCCCGAATTTCTATTTTTTTTTTCACCTTTTACTTTGATTCCTAAACAGTTCTAGTTTCTTTGGTTTATGTATTCTTTTCATCGATAATGCCCATCAGGGTCGCAGTCTAAATTTGGAAGAAGCCGCTCCCATGATGAAGATGCCTCATTTGGCTGACTTTAGGGTTTCGGGTCGATAACCCATCTCGATTTTTGCTTTGTATCCTTCGGATTTTGGTTTTCCATTGTGGATTTGGGTTGAAGTTTTCATCGGCAGCTTCGCCAAAGTCAATGGCGTCGAAGGTTTCTTTGCCTTCACCTTCAGCCGATAGATCGGAATTGCACGATGATCCCCAGGTACTGTGCTTCTCTTCTCTTAATTCATCTTCCATTACCCAGAATTTGAGTTCTAATTGCGGGTGAGAATCTGTTAATTTTTGTTGTTTGGTTCCGGTGTTTTGTTTTGTGATTAGACTTGTCAGTTTTGTGACGGCATTGTGAGAAAATAGTTGGCTTTTGATCATTGCATTTAAGATTCATTTGCACTTTGATGAGGTGCTTGATCCACAGGTGCTTTGCTAAATTTCCCAACAGCATCTGAGAAGTTTTAGTATCAATTTTTGGTGTTTCTACGTTACTGCGCACTACAAAATGAGCAATGTTTGTAATTTGGGGATCGTGGTGGTAATTTTCTCCATTTGTTCTTCTATTCACGTTCCTTTCTAACAGCTAGGATTTATCAGGATTTTTTTTTCCTTTTTCTCACCGGTGAGATGTTCTTATTGAAGTATCCATTTGTTTTTCTGCTCTTTATTGGTGTAAAGGCAAGCATCTTGTTCTGATTATTGTCTTTATACACTTCTGGCTAAATGGATAACTCCTTTTTGTTAGATGAACACGACGCTCCACAATGGTATGATATTGTCCGCTTTGAGTATAAGCTCTCATGGCTTTGCTTTGGGCTTCTCCAGAAGGCCTCATACCAATAGAGATAACATTCTTTGATTATAAACCCATAATCATTCCCTAAATTAGCCGATGTGAGACTTTCATCCATCACCTCCCGAACATTCCCTAAATTAGCATTCCTCGATTAAGGGGAGACTACTTTGTTCGAGGGGTGATGTTGGATGAAAGTCCCACATTGACTAATTTAGGGAAAGATCATGGGTTTATAATGAAGGAATACTATCTCCATTGGTATGAGGCCTTTTGGGGAAGCCCAAAGCAAAGCCATGAGAGCTTATGCTCAAAGTGGGCAATATCGTACCATTGTGGAGAGTCGTGTTCATCTATCACTTTTTTTGTCTCTTGGGTCTTGCCCTTCCTCTAGTAATATTCATACACCAATGATGTTTGTTCTGAAAAAAAAGTATCTATCAGTTTTTCTTCAATATCTAAGCTTCACTTTCTTATTGGAGTGTTATCTCCAATTTTCTTTGTTGATCCCTATGATTCTGGTGAAACCTATTCTTATTAATTTACTTGAAATAGAAAAAAAGAGAGAAATTAGTTCATCATTTGTATTCTATGGGAACAACCACCTGTTAACTTTATTAACTTGTTTAACTTTCTGCTGTTCCCCATAGACAATGAAACCACAAGGACAAGATCCTGCTCCTAAGGAGATCCTATCAGTCATTGATTTTCTAAAGAAGCAAGTTGCCGGTGAACGTTGTAACTCCATACAGGTGTTTTCATTACTATGGTCACACAAGTTTCTCACTTTTTTAGCTAGCTTAGAGTTGAATTTTGCGTTAATAGTGTATCAATATTAACTTCTACTGGATCTCTCTTAATTTTTCAGAAAAGAATGGAAGAAAACAAGCAGAAGTTAGTCGACATCACCACTCACTTGCTGAAATCATCAGCAGAAAGAAGGATAAGAAGGTTACATGATTCAGATAAGGGAGTGGATCTATTGACAAAGAGGCAGAAAGATGCCCTTGATATGCAGAATGGTATAGATGTAAGTGATGGGGAAAATGACCAATCTCAAGAAGATGGGCATGCATCTTCTGCTGTTCTTCTTGGATCTAATGTTGCAGTTAGAAATGCTGTACGACCTATTAAGCTTCCTGAAGTTAAAAGATTACCTCCTTATACTACATGGATATTTTTGGACAGGTATGTAAAATTTCTTCACTTTTCCTTATCTCTTTTCTGAAATTCCTCTAATTAGTTAGTATTATTTGAATTGTCTGAGCAGCTCAAATCCATGGAGGTATTGTGTGGTTGTGGGTAACTAGTATGGATGCAGAGTTTTGGGGGTTGTATAACACCATGTAACTGAAGTTTAAGATTTTGCTCAAGTCCTAATCGTAATTATCTTTTTCTATTGTTGTTAGAATACTGGATTTTATTCCTTTTTCGTGATATTCTACTTTAAGTTACCTGGTTACAGTTTTGAAGTCTCGATGGGGTTCATATAGAAGTTGTTTTGTGCAAGGCTGGGTCATAGGCTGATAGCATTGCCTGATGGCATGCGGGCATGCGGGCATGCATTATGGCAAGTATCATTTAAAATAAAAATTAATCGTGCATACATCTGGTTGGAAAACAATCAAATGAAGTATTTACGGAGAGTAAGAATTCTCCTTTTCACTATCATTTTTTTGTCACTCAAGGATGTATAGCCTCTCTCTCGAGTGTGGAGAATCAATTTATGCAATATCGCTATCTTGAGAACATTATAAGTCATTTACAAGGCTATGCTTTTTCTAAGACTTCCTTTGTTTATGCTTGCCTAATTTTTGTAAAAGTGGATACCTAACAATAATAAAAAATATTATACATACTAATAGCTTCAAGCATGAGAGATGAGAGGTGGTCGCTCTGTTCTCTTTCCTCTTGTTTTTACCTTCCTAAATTCTCCACCAAAATTTCTAATCTCAGCCAATTCATTTTCATTGGATTTCTGATTAAGTATCTTCTATCAGATTTACCTTTTCATGGTCAGTTGTTTGATTGTTTCTTCCTTTAGAAAATGCATTAAGTAGATGTTATGTTGTTAATAAGTACTTTTGTATTTGGTGTGAAGAAGATTGCTTTTATATAGAAGATAATAAAAATAAGATGGTCATTCCCTTTCCTTTTCTCAACTTTAGTGGTTTGAAAACTCCTTGGTTGAATCGATGCATTATCCCTTACGTTTGAACATTTTAAAGCAAAATAGAGCTGCAAAAGGAACTACTACTTGATTGCAGAAATGTGTCTTCTTTGGGCTGGTTCTTTGAATGTGTAGTATGGCCTTCAACAAGGGGAAGGAAGTTAATCGAAGTTCTACTTAAAATTTCCAAAGAGGGTGGATCACCTTTTGAGATATGTTAAGTGATTATCTCAATAAATTTGAAAGTAACATGCAAACTCCTCTAGTTCAGTTAAAGGATTATTCCATGAAGGAAGATATCATTAGGTTGTCCTATGTGGATGCTATGAGAAGGATTTTAGAGCCTAAAGCTCCAAATAAATCAAGTACAGATTCAGACGATTCTAGAATGTTTCTTTTTAATCCTGAACAACTCAGAAAAACCAAGGGATTTTCATTTATATTGGGTGAGAAAAGAAAGGAAGTAGTAGACTTGGATTGGATCTCCATTATGTTAATTTCTAGACTATATGTTCATGATGATTGGAAGAAAATCAAGAAAGCGTTAGAAGTCCATTTTGAAGCCACCTTTCTGGTTAATCCATTTATGGTTGATAAAGCAATACTTCAAATGGAAGATGGAAGAGTCTTGAGTAGTCTTGGTCCAAATGGGAGATAGATGTCCATTGGAATTTTCTATTTGAAATTTGAGAAACGGTCAGATGAAAAACATAGCGAACCAGAAGTTATTTTAGGCTATGGAGGGTGGATTTTATATTGAACTTGCCTTTGAAATATGGATGGGGTAGGGATTTATGCTTTTGGACTATGAATCCTCCCTTGTAATTCTTGTCCATCTTTTATGTGACCCCTCTCCCTTGAGCAGTTTTCCTTCTCTTGGTTGTGGAAGGTTAAAATTCCAACAAAGGTCAAATTCTTTGCATGATATGTTTTGCTTGAGAGGGTGAGTACTCTTGATTGTTTGCATGCCATGTTTTTCTTGAGAGGTGAATATTCAGAATCATGTTGCATCCTTTGTGGCGGGGCCACATTAGTACCTAATTTTTAAGAAGATGGCGAGAACTTAGACCACATTCTTTGGAGTTGTTAGTTTGCTTGGTCTATTTGGGTTGCATTTTTTAGATGTTTGATTTTATTCTAGTTAGAAGTTTCTGGTTTGAGAGGAATCATAGATTTTTTAGAGATTCGGAGAGTTCTTCATGAAAGGTTTTGGTTACTTTAGTTAGGTTTATAAATGCCTTTCGTATCAGTTTCTAGGAGCCTTGTTCTTTTTCTCTACGATATTATTTTGGATTGGAGGCCCTTTTTGTATAATAAGCTTTGAGTAAGGCTCCTTTTATTGAGCTGTCTTTTTGTAGTAGGCCTTTTCATTAGTTTTTGTATTATTTCATTCTCTCGATGAAATTCAGTTTCTTATATATATATATATAAAAGAATGGTGAACCACAGGAACTACAGTTTCCATGATTTGTTTCTTGTTTTTTTTTTTTTTTTTTTTTTTTTTTTTTTTTTTTTTTTTTTTTTTTTTTTTTT